ATATGTTTTAAATGACCACTTTTTCAAAGGATCCCAGGCAAAAGAGAACTAATACAAATATAAACATGTGAGGGGATCTTGGCATTCCTTTCAAAATTCCTTTTGTCAAAGGGAAGCTTCAGGTTTCTGGGAAATGTCACACTCTTAGCTCCTGCTCAAGTCATTTCCCTTGTGGGATACAGAGCTCTTGCTTTCCCCACAAGGGAATTGGCTGTGATCATCTGTGATTCTCAAAGGACTCATGTTCTAAAATAGATCCTGAAATTTGTATTAACAAAACATCTATTTTACATATCTAGCATTCTGTATCCTTTTTCTTAATGCTTTGCAATGAAGCGTGTATCATAAAAACCATTAAACTGTACAGATGGTGCTTATGCAACACAATTTAATGTCTCAGCAAGAACTAGTGATTTGTTACATACATTATACATCATCATGATGTATATTTCCGGATTTTGAATGTTTGGAGGGCAAATAGTCACCAATATGGTTGTGGCACTAGACTATGATTTTTTTCTTAATATCAGGCCATGGCCTAATGTCTAACATAAAATAATTACGCAGTATAGGTTTATTAAAGAAATGGCATAGTTTGGGTTATAAATGTCTGTGTTCATAATGGGTTTAAAGATTTTAAAATACGAAAATTTAGAGAGTTGAAAGGAGAAGTGCTGGAAGAGGAGGAAAGATTTTCCCTCTGCTCCTTGGCCAACCATCAGGCATTTACTTCATGTGCCTTTCTGTTTCACTTAGGGTTCTTGGTCCCAAGCAACAGAAATAGATTCTAGTTGACAGGAGCAGAAAAAGAATGAAATGAAATTGTATTCGATCACAGAAGAGATGGGACGTCCAAAGAAAGAAGCTTGGGCAAAGGGTACAACCAAAGGTGAGCTACTAGCCTAAAGGAATTCTTAAAATGCTGTGCCTCTAAAATTCTTGGTAGGTGCACATGCCTGACTGAGCCCAGATTGCATGCCATGCCATGGCTTCAAGGGGATCTGCGGAACAAGTATTTGATACCTCCCAGCTTCTACAACAGGATGTGGCTCTGCTCCTCACTATGGCTTGTAAGATGGGAATTCCCCAAAGATGGGAAGGAGCTCACAAGTTGGCCAGTCGCCCCACCCCCCAAAAAATGTATATATGAATGAGTCTGTTAAACTTCCTACCTAGCCAAAAGCATTTTGAATTTCCTCTCTTCTTTGGCTTTTGGCCATGCCTGCTTTGATAATCCTCAGCGCTGAATAAAATCAACCTTGTTTTTATTGTGGGTCTCTGGGCAGTTAAAAACCACTTAGGGGGTACACACAATTCGTCATGAGTCTTTAGTCTATTCCTAGTAAATTAAATTAGTACAAAGGTTCTAAACCCATCTCTAACCTCCACCTCACCCCGTAGAATTTAATTCTATACAAGTCTTCAGGAGATTCTGATACACATTTCTGGTTGGGAACCATGTTTTAGTCTTTCTTATCTCCCACAGCTTCTTTACAAACCATTTCTATTTTTATGAAGCCCCAACCTCACGCCATCAGTCTTAATCAATGACCCTTTGTTCAACTGGGAAAACCAGACCATCTGATGCAAACTCACTTAACCTCTCTCCAGAGACTTCAACTCAAACTTTCTGCTTGTCTTTATCCATTTCATCCTCCTGCCCTTCTTCGTTCTTCCTTCTTCCCAAGGCTAAGTGACTAATGTGATACTTATCTAGATGTCGTCTCAACTAATCAGAGACTTTGCCTAATATTCACCTTCTTTTTGACTGTGTCTTTGGCATCATCTCCCTGTTGTTTAATTTGCCTTGACCCCCAAACATCCAAGTCTTGCCTGACCTAAAAACCCTTTCAACTAGACCCTGCCTCCCATAGGCCATGTTGCTGTTCTACACCTTTATCTTTCACATCCCAAGAGCTGAAAGAGGCAGTCTGTACTCATGGTTGCTTCTCTCTGACCTCTCACTCGTCCCTCAACTCTTTTTGTTTGTTTTATTTTCAACATTCACTTGGTAGCAGTCATTCCTCAACTCTTGGAAGTGCTTCCAAGCTCACCTTCCAGACACAAGTAACTCATGGCCTCCTGACAGCCATCCAATAGCCTCTTCTTTATCTGCATCCCCCACGACCTTTCAGAAGCATATGGCCCTGTTGAAAACCTTCCTTCTTTGTGGCTTTCGGTGCAAACCCCTCTGGATTTTTCCTTCTACTTCTCAGATGATGCTTTATCAGTCTTCCTTTCTGGAATCTCTCCTCTTCTTGCTCTGTTTTCTCATCCAGGCTGTTCTCATTTCGTTAGCTGTAATTGCAAAGTAGATGACATTCGGATGTGTGTCCCCAACCCTGAGTCTTCTCTTCAGAGTTCAGATCTTTCCAACTGATCACTTACAAAGGGTGCCCAGGCCCTTTTCCTTCTCCACCTTTCCATCCCATCACTTCTTTAAAAAATTTATTGCAGTTAAATATACAAAACTTAAAATTTACCATTTTTACCACTTTTAAGCATATGGCTTGATGATCATAAATACATTCTCATTGTGCTCAATCATATCTTTTAAATATCAAAATAGTTGGGAGTAGAAGGACCATTTCTGGCACATTTCAGGTTTATTCCTGGGGCCTGCCCACATCTCCATATCACTGGCCAACCCTGGCACTTAGTGGTTAAGAGCATGGGCTCTGGTGAGTGTGATCTGAGTTTAAATCTCAGCTCTTTAACTGTAGCTGAGCCTTTCAACCTCTCTGGTCTCAGCTTCCTCATCTTGGTATTCTCTACAAGGTAAGAAATGAGCTGTTATTGCTTCACTCTGCTGAAGCAATAACAGCTTTGTTTATTTGTAAGCAAACCCCCTTTAAATAACTTGTCCTGCTGGGGCTTATGCTGGAAATGAAGAAAAAAAGCATGCATTTGAAGAAAGGGATGGGTCTTAGCCAGAACATAGAAGTATCTGATATATTGGAGTGGGATGTAGAATCTGGCACTGGCTTGGATTTATGAAACAAACAGCTCCACCTACACTTGTTATGAAAAAGATGGGAAAACAATCCATCAGTAAACGATTTTGGTGAGTGCTTCTATTTTTGGTCAGAGGAGTAATTGTTCATCAGTGACAGGTGAACCTCTGTGAAAATTGAAAGAGCAATTTAGTTGAAATGGAAGAATTTACTCAGGAAACAGGTGATTTTGGAAAATTTGATGTACGTATCTCCCCTCCCTCCCTCCCTTCCTTCCTTCCTTCTTTTTCTTTCTTTCTTCTTTCTGTCTTTCTCTCTCTCTTTCTTTTAGACAACGTTTTGCTCTTTTTGCCCAGGCTGGAGTACAGTGGTGCAATCTCGGCTCACTGCAACCTCCACCTCCCAGGCTCAAGTGATTCTCCTACTTCAGCCTCCTGAGTAGCTGGGATTATAGTGCTCACCACCACGCCTGGCTAATTTTTGGTACTTTTAGTAGAGGCAGGGTTTCACCATGTTGGCCAGGCTAGTCTTGAACTCCTGACCTTAGGTGATCCACCCACCTTGGCCTCCCAAAGTGCTGGGATTACAGATGTGAGCCACTGTACCTGGCCTGATGTGTATATCTTTTAATACGCTTTTAAATCCTGAATTTATAGAATCATTGTGGATGTAGAGGCCAAATCAGTGTTTATTTCATTTCATGAAGAAAAGTTTGCCTATGAATGTTGGGAATTCTAGCAGGTCCCGCCTTAATGTTAAGAGGCATTTTGTTTGTCTTTGGCATTGATCTCCTTTTGGACTGGGCTTGATCCACTTCTCACATCCAGTCCAGGACCTGTCACAAAAGACTCACTTTAGTACCACATGGTATCCTGTTTCAGTAAAGAATAGGTGAAGTATTTTAGCGAGTAGATCCTATTTTTCTTCTCGGATGCAGTGAACAGAAGACCCTGAAAGGATTTCAATCCAGAATGTCACAGGATAATAAGAGCAGATGTATGTGATGCCCTTTACAAAGCACCTTTACATACTTTTTCTCATTCATCTCTAATGACACTTGCGTGAGGTAACCCTTGTGATCCTCCATCTTTTTCAGATGAGGAAACTGAGGTTCATAGTGGTTAAGCAAGTTGCCCGAGATTTCACAGCTAATAAAATGTGAAGCCTTGCCTAGCACTCAGGACTACAAACTCTTGGCTTCTTTTAAGGCCACATTTTCCCTCACCAGAATGGTGACCTCTCTGGAGATATACTCTACCCTCGGCCGACTTGATGTTGAGGACTTGGTCATCTTAAGCATGTGGGCCACTTGGGCAAGGCAGCCCTTCTCAATTGTAAATGTCCCCACGTGGAGCCCAGGCGTCTGGCGTGAGCTAAAAGGTGCCCTGAACACTTGGTGGCCTCAGCCACCACGTAACGGCACGTGCTCGGGTCCCACATTCGGTCAGACGCCCCTCTCTACTGGCATCTGCGCCGTGGAGGCGCCACTGCACTCTGCCTCCGCCCCAGCAAGCGCGTGTCCACCCGGACGCGCCACGCCAGCCGTGCGCCCCAGCCGCTCGCTGTGCGCCCCTGCCCCAGGTGCCTACTCGCTCGCGCACCGTCGGTCTGCGCCTGGGAGACCTGCAGCAGCAATCGCCCGGAGCCGCCTTGGACCGCGGCCTCGGGTCCCCCACACTCCAGGGGCGGAGCGAGGAGCCGAGACGTCAGGGCCGAGAACGAGCGCCGGGCGAGCGCGCCCTCTCGGCGGCCGCCCGCGTCCCACGTCCTCTGCTGGCGCGGGCGGCGGCGACCGGGAGATGCAGTGAGCGGCGGCGCTGGGGCGCAGCCAGGCGGCCGGGCGGGCGGAGGCCAGAGGCTGAGCCCGGGCTAGCCCGCCGTGCGCACAGCTCTGCCCGCCGCCCCCAGAGCGGATCCCCAGCCGCCCCTCGGCGTTCCCCTGGGTTCTAGCAAAGCCCCTCGGGGTGCCCATCAGTTTCCTTGGGTGACTACAGCGTGTGTTTTGTTTTTCTTTCCTCTTTTCCCTGTCTGTGTGCCCTTCTCCAGGATGGCAGAGGCGGAATTGCACAAGGAAAGGCTGCAAGCCATAGCAGTAAGTCCACTTTCATTTTATTTTCTTGCTCTATTGTCTGGGGTGGAAGGGGACCCAGAGGGTTTTGGGGAGAGCGGCATGCCAGCACAGTAGCCGCAGGGCATATGTTCCGGGGACTAAAACTCTGTCAGGGCTCAGCTAGGCTGCCTTTCCTTTCTGTGTCTGTAGATGGAAACCCCCAGGGCATGCTTTGGACTGGGGATCTGAATGTGGAAGACTGGCTTAGAAATAAGATGCTTGCTGCTGGGCTTTGGGGAAGGACTAAACAGAGGCTTGGGATGGGGGGGAAACTCCAGGAATATTATCACCCAGTGCTCAGGCATATGTTGACTTTATACCCTGGAGAATCAGGAGAAGGGTGACCTGAACGGTGGCTGCCATCCTCTTTGCGGAAGCCGTTCTCCTGTTAAGTGGAAAACCAGGAGTCAGCGACTCAGCCAGCCACGCGGTAGGACCTCCTCCCAGAAACCGGGAATGTTAGTTTTCCCTTCTCTGTTTTATATTGACAAGGGCACTGGTGCAAGCCACCACCCTGGAGGAGGTGTGGGGACTTCTTACAACTGGGTCCTGGTTATAATATTCCATGAGAACGTCTTTCTTAGGGGTGTGGAGTATCTGAAAACCTATTTTCAGTATACAAAGAAGCAGCCAGTTTGGCAAAGTTCATAGGCACTTTCAGAAAAGTGTACCCATGTGCATCTTGGTTTTAAAAAAAGAACTCTCTGAGACTGCCTAGATTTGAGCAATCTTAACACAGTGTTGCCAATGATCCACAGATGTGGTATTTTTACTGGAGCCACCACAGCTGGATTATATATTTCCTTTGAGGATGAGGGAATGATTACTGCTGCCATATGAAATAGTAACAATTAAAAAAAGAAGGTCTGTTAACATATTGGCATAAAAGAATCTCCAGACATTCTTCCACCTAAATATTTTTTTTTTCCAGTTCAGAAGTTCTCTGGAAACATATATAAATTTGTTGGAGAAATAGTGTGTAATGTTTTGGAAGCAAAGTATATTAAAGTGTTTTCCAGAGCCTTTTTTGGACAGACTCTTCATTGGGAAAATGCACACAGCCCCTTCTTTTTTGGGAAGCATTTGATATGGTCTCCATGGCTCAGACCCTCTTTCTCAAATGCCTCAAATCTGAAGTGTCTTGGAGACTTCACTGCCGAAGTGAGAGCGATATCTGTCGGCAATGTTGAAATACCATGGTTTGCCTATTAGGTAATCTTTGAATGTGGTGCTCTGAGCTCAGGAAGGCTGTTTTTTCTTCTTTCCCTTTCCCCCGGTGCATGTGTATTTTGATGGTTTACGAAGTTATTTGTGGTCTCTAAAGTTGGTGGCAAGGCAGTGTGGCCAGTGTGTCATGAACTTGATAAGAATGGTGATATTGAGTTAATGGTGCCATGTAGCTGGTGGGTGTTTTGTGTGAACTGGATAATAGCCTGCTTTAGCTGTTGATGCAGTGGCTGCTCCCATTGGCCGCTGCTGAAGATTTCCAACAGTTGTCACATTTTCTGCCTTTGCACAACCAGCTTTACTGGATGCCTGAGGAACAGCTGAACTCCATGAAAGGACTTGCTTTCCAAACTTGGGGCCAGTAGCTGCTAACACTGGGGCCACCCCCTTCCAAGTGCAGTTGAGTAATCCCAGTAGAGGCCAAATTGATTTTCAAGAACGATCTAGGCAAATCTTTAGGAATTCTCTTGAGTGTATAAGAATACACACAAATACTCACTCGTGCTTCTTCAGTTATTTAAGAATTGAGTTTGCCATGTGTATCTGGGGAGCTGTTGATTATTCTTCTGAATGTGCACCTATACAGTCTGCCCTCCCTGTCTGTGGGTTCCATATCCACGCCTTCAGCCAACATTGGATTGAAACTACTGGAAAATAATAATGGATAGCTGAGTCTGTACCGACCATGTACAGACTTTTTCTTGTCATGATTCCCTAAACAATACAGTATAATCAACTGTTTACATCGCATTTACATTGTGTTAGGTATTATAAGTAATCTGAAAATGATTAATGTATGTGGAAGATTGTGAGTAGATTATATGCAAATGCTATGCTGTTTTCTATCAGGAACTTGAGCATCCTTTGATTTTGGTTTCCAAGGGGGGTCCTGAAACCAATTCCTCGAGGATGCTGAGGGCTGACTGTATGATGTTGTCAGGACAGATTTGCTGAG